TGCCATCCTAAACCCGGCCACTCTGCTCCCCGAGTTGGGGAAAGAAGTGCTTCATACCTGCCAGGAAATCCTGGCTGAAGAGACAGGAACCCGCCAGGACTTGCAAGACCAGCCCTTAAGGGGAACAGGACTCCTGACTTGGTACACGGACGGGAGCAGTTACATCATGGATAGTAAAAGAATGGCTGGAGCTGCAGTAGTAGATGATGACCGAGTTGTATGGGCCAGTGGACTCCCAACGGGCACCTCTGCACAGCGAGCAGAACTCATCGCTCTGACTCAGGCCCTAAGGATGGCAGAAGGTAAGAGACTTAACGTCTACACTGACAGCAGATACGCCTTTGCCACTGCTCATATACACGGGGCTATTTATAGACAGAGAGGGCTGTTAACTTCTGCCGGGAGAGATGTTAAAAACAAACAAGAAATTTTAGATTTGCTAGAAGCCATCCATAGGCCTAAAGAAGTAGCAATAATACATTGCCCTGGACACCAGAAAGATGACTCTCCAATAGCTCGAGGAAACCGGAGAGCAGACCAAGCCGCAAAGCAAGCGGCTCAGGGAATGAACATTTTGCCCCTCCAAGTGTGTCCGGAAGCCACTCACATCAAGAGCTTCCAGTACACACCTGAAGATCTCATTTGTATAGACAAATTAGGGTTCAAAAATTCTTTGCCCCAAGAGATATACAAGTCTGAAAAAGGGAAAGTTGTCCTGCCCCAGAGAGAGGCAGCAGAATACTTAAGGCAATTACATCAACTGACACATTTGGGAGCAAAAAACCTAAAGACCTTAGTTCGAGACTCCCCTTATCATGTTATTAAATTAGGAAAATTAGCTGACGAGATTGTAAAAAATTGTGTTCCCTGTCAATTAGTAAACGTGAGCAAAAATCAAGCAATATCCGGGAAAAGACTTCGAGGAGATCGCCCAGGAGCTTATTGGGAAGTTGACTTCACTGAAATTAAGCCTGCCAAGTATAGATATAAGTACCTTCTAGTTTTTCTAGACACATTTTCAGGATGGACAGAGGCGTTCCCCACCAAAACTGAGACAGCTCAGACGGTGTCTAAAAAGATCCTTGAAGAAATATTTCCCAGGTTTGGAATCCCAAAGGTAATCGGCTCCGACAACGGCCCTGCTTTTGTTGCCCAGGTAAGTCAGGGATTGGCCAAGATCCTGGGGACGGACTGGAAATTGCATTGTGCATACAGGCCCCAGAGCTCAGGACAGGTAGAAAGGATGAACAGAACTCTAAAAGAGACCTTGACTAAATTGTCCATAGAGACTGGCTTATGTGATTGGTTAGTCCTCCTTCCCTTCGCCCTATTTAGAGTCAGGAACACTCCCGGCCGCTTTGGACTAACGCCTTTTGAAATAATGTTTGGGGCCCCAGCTCCGCTTCAGTCAGCACATCTTCATGTATTCCCTGAGTGTGCAACTAATAAGTTTTTGCTTGAAAGGTTACGAGCCTTGGAAGCTGTGCAGAAAGAGGTGTGGGCCTCCATCAAGGAAGCCTATCGGCCAGAGGAACTCTCAGTGCCTCACCAGTTCCAGGTGGGAGACCCTGTCTATGTAAGAAGGCACCGGACAGGAAACCTCGAGCCACGGTGGAAGGGGCCTTTCGTCGTCCTCCTGACTACTCCCACAGCTGTAAAAGTGGACGGCGTCTCTTCCTGGATACACGCTTCACATCTAAAGAAGGCACCCCCGGACCCAGACTGGCGAGTAACTCGGACTGATAACCCCCTTAAGCTTCGCTTGTGTAAAAAGAATTATGCTGTTAGTAATTCTGATGTTTCTGCTACCTCCAACCCACCAGAACCCTAACCCTCATGAGCCCAGGTTACTGACATGGCAAATCATTACCCCAGCTTCCCGCCAAATAGTAGTCCAGATAACAGGACAACACCCTAAGGGAACCTGGTGGCCTACCCTCACTGTAGACGTATGCACTCTTTTCAAGCAAGACCCTAGGTATGAGGACACAGTTGGAGTACCCGGATGTAGCACTCGGGATTATATAGTGCATTGGGGCTCTGGGACTATGAAAGAAATTCAAAGTGCCTGCTTTTATGTATGCCCGGCCCCCTCAACTGATGCCGAGGTCTCACAATGTGGAGGGCAGACAGATTTTTTCTGTAAGAATTGAGGTTGTGAACAGACAGGGACATGCCATTGGCTGACAGGAAGCGCAGGGAGACCCCCTCCAGGCCTTATAAAAATCCAACGAGGTGCCACTCATGCCCAGTGCAAGACTCATCCCACCTGCAATCTCATTGATATCTCCTTCACAGATGCAGGAAAAAGGGCAGCAAACTGAGAAAAGGGGCTTACTTGGGGACTAAGACTGTACCAGAGTGGGTATGACAATGGAGTCTTATTTATGCTCAGGCTAAAGGTAGAAACTCTCCCGGCTATCCCAGTGGGACCCAACACTGTCCTGCGGGACCGGCCGCGTCTCCCAGCCCCGGCCCCCGAGCAGACCCCAGCCCCTCCTGTAGACTCTACCGCCACTCCCTCTGTTTCCACTCCTGGTCAAGTTGCCCCTTTCCCTAGCACAGGACGACGCCTCCTTAACCTCCTTGAAAGAGCTTTTCAGGCCTTAAACACCACCAATCCTAAAACTACTGAATCCTGTTAGTTGTGTTTCTCTTCTGGGCCGCCTTATTATGAAAAATTAGGATTGTTAGGCAATTTTAATAAAACAACCCGTCACGAGATCTGTAGCTGGAGAAGCCACCGGAAACTAACTCTAACTGAAGTAACTGGAAAAGGAAAATGTTTAGGTACAGTCCCCCCCACCCATAAAGCCTTGTGTAATGAAACCGTAGCTATAACCCCCTCAGGTAAAAATGAGTATCTAGTCCCTCCCCCCGAGGGATGGTGGGCTTGTAATACTGGAGTGACCCCATGTGTCTCTACTTCTGCCTTCAATTCCTCTCGCGATTTCTGTATTATGGTTCAGCTAGTACCCAGGTTAATGTATCATGATGATCTCTCATTCGTAACTGAATTTGAACCTAGGCATAGATATAAAAGAGAGCCGGTCTCGCTGACCTTAGCCGTGTTGTTAGGGATAGGAGTTGCAGCCGGAGTGGGAACGGGGGCAGCCGCTATTGTTCAAGGGAACCAGCATTATGAAGGACTAAGGACTGCTATTGATGAAGACCTAAAAACAATAGAGCAATCCATTACAAAACTTGAAGAATCTCTAACTTCCCTCTCTGAGGTAGTCTTACAGAATAGACGAGGGCTGGATCTACTGTTCCTAAAAGAAGGAGGACTGTGTGCAGCTTTAAGAGAAGAATGCTGCTTTTATGCAGATCATTCCGGGATAGTAAGAGATTCAATGTCAAAACTTAGAGAGAGGCTAGATCAGAGGAAGAGAGAGCGAGAAGCAGGCCAAGGACTGTTTGAATCTTGGTTCACCAGGTCCCCGTGGTTTACAACCCTGATATCCACTCTGGCTGGGCCCCTACTCATCCTTGTGTTGCTTCTAACTTTAGGACCCTGCATGTTAAACCGGTTAATAACTTTTGTTAGAGAAAGAGTGAGTGCCGTTCATGTACTAATGTTGAAGCAACAATACCACTCACTCAACTCCTAAGAAGATACAAACATTCCATGATTGGAATGCCCCAAAAAGAGAAATGGGGAAATGTAGGATCTGAAGAATCAAAAGTTAGCATAAGTACAGCCATCTTAAGGCCTAAATACCACCCCCTAACCCAGAAGAAGCAAAATCATTAGAATCTTGAAAAACAAGTTAGTTAGCCTGTGTCAATTGTAGTGACCTTTCTGTGTCAATTGTAGTGACCTTTAGTTAGCTAACCGTAAATCAGTTAATCATATATGCCTAGCTTATCTTACTAGAACCACCCTAGACATTCCGTAGGTGATCTCATCTAATCAGACCCCAGGATGTGGCGCCAGCAAAAGATTTATGAGCCTATAGAAAAAACTCTGTATTGTGATTATGGAAAATTTTACCCCTTTTGAAAATACTATAAAACCTTCTGCCTTAGTGTGCTCGGGGTCCTCGTTGAGACCTGCTGCGACAGGCTGACTTGGACCCCAACTAGTTGGCTTCCGAATAAATTCCTCTTGCTTGTTGCATCAAGAAACGTCTTTGGTGAGTGATTTGGGGCGGCGCCTTCCTCAGGGGAATCCAACACCTTAAATTTAACACTTACTCCAGTACTAACAATTTCCTAAATAATCCTGCTTTCTAACACAGAATGAGTGAATTTCTGTTTTGGACAACTAAAAGAGCTAAATACCTTCTGTAATTGCTGTAATCGATCTCTAGATTGGTTTTCTATTTTAGAGGATCATGACTCCTCTGAAAAATGATAAAATACACCTGGATTTATTCTTTCTTAAATTATCTTCATCTCTTGATTCAACTACTTTTCAGTGTAAAATGAAGTTACCTACAATTACAATATCGAAGACTTCTCAAGAAACAGCTTTTGTTACGAGTTGTTTCATATGCAAGTTAATTGTTTCATCGCATTCTTTTTCAATATCTGCATGTGAAAACATACCTTTAATATTTGCATATGCTTCTGCACTGACACACACTATGTATATTTATCCCATACCTCAAGGGAATAATTGACATCTTTGTTTCTTTAATATGCCTAACAGCCTATCAGGGAAAAAAAGCTCCCACTCTATTACCTGAGTTTTCAGGACTCTAATCTATATTCAGGTAATGAAAAGGCAAGAACATCCACAAATATGTTTAAAAAGATACAGTAACAACTTTTTAAAAACATTATTTGAACAAAAAAAAAAGGAAAAACAAAACTCATTATTTCTATCCAACTCAACCAAGCAAAAGTATTTTAAAAAATTACATATATATACTTACTGCTCCAAACTCTTCCATATAGAGCCCAGGGTAATTAATGTTACCAAAAATATATGTAAATTAAAGAGAATACAATTGAAAATTAAGGATGATACATTTACTGTTCCTAAGTATACTCACAGAAAGATAGCTGTTAATGTCCACATCATCAGTAATGATTTGGCGCTCTCCCTTATAGTTAATTTTCCTAAATCTTCGTCGCGACTGCCTGGCAGGAATTTCTCTTTGCAGAATACTATCTTCATTATCTTTGGAATTCTCTACCTGAAACACATGTCCACATTCCCAATTAAGTATCCCATTTTTCCATATTACTGACAGTCTATGAAGTCTTAAAGGACTCATAAGGAGGATTAATTTACTTCTTGTAAGAAACTGCCTCAAGAAAACAATCTATATAGGACAGTGCTCATTAGTTCAAAAACATTAAAGATGATATTATTATGAAGATTTGGAGACCACAATTTCCTTCCAGGAAATAAGTCTCTCTTGCTCACATAAACATATATTCTCTAAATAAAGTCACTTACCAGAAAGGAAGGCTGTTAACTACACCTACACATTCAATAATTACAACTTCTGAGTTAGTTCAATAACAAATTACCTGATTACACATATATTTTATTTAGCAAACAGTCTTGGTTATGATTTCAGTGAATTACTAAACAGTAAAACAAAAATGCTTCATACGTTACATTTGGTGTCTATCTTAACATACGACAATACCCAAGAGTAAGGCTCTATCAAGGAGGAAGGGAAAACTAACATTTACTGAGGGCTTAAAATGGGCCAGCATGCATATACATCATACTACCTAGTTCATGTAATAGCTCTCTAGGCAGTTATTACCTTCTCTAGCTTGTAGATAAACAAACTAAAATCCAAAGCAATTAGTGACCTTTCTGTTTCACAACAGTGATACTTACTAAAGATGAGCTGGAATACAGGCTTGCCACTAAAGCTGAAGTTACTGATGTAAGACCACACTGCTTTTCCAATCACAGACTAAACTGTCATTCAAAAAAAATTATTTTTGCAATGACATAACGATATGTTCTGAAGTATACCTTATAATCAACTTCACATTCAATAAATAAATGATAATTTCAGTTTCCCCCACAACTACTTCTCCTGCTAATATCACCCAAGTAGGAAATTCCATCAACATTCTCAACTCCCTTGAATGTCTTCCACATCTTATCTTCATTTATTTCTCAGAATGTATCAATTCTTTTTTTTTAAATCAATTCCTCTCACAATGTCCTTTTTTTCATTTCCATTACCACCATCACTTATTCAAGTTTGAATCACTACCAAACTATAGCAATAGGTGTTCCTGTGGATTCAGATGCGTTTTTCTCCAACTCCACCATACACAGTCAGACAGATCATCATTTCATCAGGTCTCCTGCTCAAAATGCTACAATGGATTACCAAAAAACTTCAAAATTTATTTAAGTTACATCTGATACTCAAAGCCACATACACTCCCTCCTCTAGAATATTTTTATCACTTTATCTTATACATATGAAACTGGCAAAACTGCTCCCTTATCTTCATCCCCACAAAAGAAACCCTCTTACATAGAAGCACTAATGAGATATGGAAAATCTGCTTGTTAACATGACTATTCAAGGGTCCCTATATATAAATTAACTTATATTCTGCTAAGTAACTTATTTCCTCAATTTGTGTCATCCTCCCATTCTACTTTCACATACTGAAACACCACTAACCATTTAAGACATATCTCACTTGCCATCTCTTCCATAACCACAAGACTTTCTTCTTCTCAGACAATGACAGGTTTATTGTATGTACACAACCTAGTCCTCTCATGCTCTCTATTGTCTTCAGGCCTTTACACATGCTGCTGTTACTTCTGCCTAAAAGCCCCTTCTTTCTTTACCAACATCCTACACATACTCGTGACCCAGTTTAAACAACTTCTCCTCTGCCTCAGGAAGGTGCTATTTCTTTCACAGCACTAAGTATATGGACCATAATTATTAGGTAAGCCCACCTCACTAACAAGCAAGCTAACGAGCTCTGTAAGACAGGAACTGCATTATATTAGATTCACTTTTGTTCTCTTAACATTCAAGAGGTTTGCCAAAATGGATATGAAATTCTTTCTCCTCAAATGTATCAGGTACCTAGAAATATAAGGTACTCAAGAAATATACAGGTAGAATATGTAACTGCATATTACTTTAAAGGTAAAATCCAGAAGACACAGGGCAATGATGTCCATTTCCAGCTCAACAACTACAGAACTTTGTGGAGGCAGCAAATACATGTTATTTGTGATGCAATTTGCTCTTCTAAAACATGATGGGAGAACCAGAGTATTTACTACATCACTATAGTAGTAAATTACAAGAAACTGTAAATTATATCATTTAAGGCTCACAACATCCTTATTACAAAGCTATTCTTTCTGTTTAAATATGGTACACAGTCTCAGAAAACTTAATTCACTCAAGTGGGTAAAGATTCAAAACCCAAGCATGACTAAAAAATCCATCTCCTTCATATTGCCTTATCCCAAGGAATGGACTAGATTACCTACTTAAGGTGAAATCCCGGTATCATATGATTCTTAGATCTTTTAACATCTACCATTTATTGAGCAAATGCAGAGAATTAAACAATAAAGGCTTTCAAACTAGAAATAGTAGTAAACTAAATCTAGAAAAGAAGTTTCTAAGCCTTAGAAGTTTGGGGAAAGTATCAAATAAAAAGAAAAAAAATAACAGTGTATAAAGATTAAGTGCCCTTAACAAAGCTCCCTCTTAATACAAATGAGAATTAAAAAAAATAAAACTTTGCAAACACATACTGAAATGGCACAGAAGGAATCCAAAGGCCAAGAATAAAGTGAAAACAATATTATCAGGAGGTAGCCTACCAGCAAAGCCCCTATCTACCAGATGATTTCTCTCCAGACACTAGACCTTCCACTTTGATGGTGGTAGAGAGTGAGACAGGAAATAAAACAGACAATCCACGAAAAATGGGGAATCCAATAGCAGACTTACTCATAAAGCTCAACCTAAACAGCTACACCCTCGATGTAAGAGGTGAGCTAGACATTAAGCCCATGGTGCAGGAGGGAACAGGAAGACAACTTGCTTGGTACTGAGAGGAGAGAAGGGAGAAAGCGCACAAAACAAAAAAACTTTTCCCTGAGAATTCAAAACAGAAGCCAGCTCTCATGCAGGTCTATAAGTTTGAATTCATATCTTAAGCCCATCAGTAAATATAAAGGAGTCCAAGACTGATAATGCATATATGCAACCGGCAAAAATAATTACCAAACCTCTTTAAAAGAATGCAGAACTCCAACCTCAAACAACCCCCACACCTGAAGTTCAAGACAGGAACTCATAGACAAACACAGCAAAACCAACCAACCCACCACCTGCAACAACCCCCGATCATGTGGCAAGTAAGACAGCTAAGGAACAGTGGGCAGACCCAGGCAGCACATGCACACCGGCATGCACGCCAACATGCTGCAAACATCAGAAAGTATGAGGCCATAAAAAAAAAAGACTCCAATGGAAAGAAACTTGAAAATGACCCAGGGATAGACAGCAACCCAGCAAGTGAGGAGGACCAGGACAAAAAGAAATCCTTCCCTCATTCCCGGACACTGGCCCGGCCCGCAACCAGGGAGTGCCAAGTGACAGCAGTCTGCATTAGCAAGAGGGACAAGAACACACATCCTGTCTGAAATACAAGATCACAGGAGGGCTGAAAACTGAAGGTGTTTATTTAGAAACATTTAGAAAGGAAACTTAGATCTTCCAACAACCAGTCCCACACCTAAATACAAAGTAACAGCAGAGGTGCACTGAACATAACCCTAATAGCAAAACACCCCCATCTACCTCAACTCCAGCAGCAGAAGTGCATTTATCTCCAGGCCTAAGCACTAAATACCCTCAGTCTTTACTGCCCTACACACAATATCTAGCATTACATATGAATTAACAATTCACATAAAAATGAAAAGGGTAAAAACAAACAAAAACACCCCAAGCCACTGTCAAGAGACAACACAATCAATAGAGCAATCCATGAAAATTAGAGATAATCCAGATGCTGGAATTATCAGAGAATTTAAAACAACTATGAGCAATATGATAAAGGCTCAGTGAAAAAGGTGGACAATATGAATAGACAGATGGAGAATTTCAACAGATAGAAGGAAAACATAAAATAGAACAAATTGAAAATACCAGAAACAAAAAACATGGTCTCGGGAGGAAAAAAGCCTTTGATAAACTCATTAGTGGACTCAAGGTAATTGGGTTAAGAATCAATGAATTTAAACACAGGTCCACAGAAAGTACCTAAACTGAAACAGAGGTAAGAAGAGAGGACAAACAGAAAAATGAAGGAATTAAATGGCACACTGAGATGTTATAAAAACAGAATTAGTGAATTGGGAAGACGGAGCCAAAAAGAATGCAGTATGCAGCACAAAGATGAAAACTAAGAAAGAAATCTTAAGAGATACAGAGGATGGGCTGAAAAGATTTCGTATGTATCTAAACAAAGTTCAAGGCAATAACAGAAAAAGGAATGAGACAATGTCCAAGAGAAAATGACTAAGACTGTTTAATAAAAAAAAGAGAAAAAAGCCCAAAGCAGTCCAATATTCAAAGCATAAATTGGAAACTGCAACTATAAATTCACACAAAAAAGATAAAGAGAAAACTTTTAATGCCAAAAATAAAAATAAAGGGCAATTAGATTAGTAACTGATTTCTCAAAATACAATGAATGCCAGAAAACAATAGACTGTATTAACTGTGCTGAGGAAAAAAGGATTCTGTTCCTAAAAGTGCATTCATGGCAAAGACAGAAAGAAAACAATACAGTACACCAGCTGAGATGTCTACCAACAAAACATTTTTATTAAAGAAAATTTTAAAGGATGTACCTCAGATGTAACACAAGTGTTAGCTACCGTTAAGTAAGGTCTAGGTTCAAGAAATTATTAAAAGCAAAGAAATGCTAAATACATGGTTAAATCTGGGTAAATAATGACTGCATAAAACAATAAGACAAAATTTTTTTGGAATAAATAAGTAGAACTAAAATACTGGACAACAGCAATTACATTTCGATACAGTCACCTGCACTGAACTGTTACAAGCTTCATTATTTATTAACTTCCATTATTTTTAAGTAGGTGTATAAAAATAGCTAGAATTAGCACAGAAAGAATAAACCAAATAAAACATCTAAG